TTGTTAATTACCGCGCTCATTCCCCAGGAAAAAATGGATTAATTTCCACCCTCAAAACTACCCCTAGAAAAAAATCGAACTCCAAAAGTACTTGCACTTGACCCTTAACCCCCGCCGTTTCCGGAAAAAACGTAAAATATGGAATTAATTAATTGTTAGTTACCGCCCTCATTCCCCAGGAAAATATTTAATAATTTCGACTCTCCACCCTCAAAACTAACCCTAGGAAAAAATCCACCCCCAAAAGTACTTGCGCATCATCCCCAATCCCCGTCGTGTCCGGAAAAAAAAAAGAAATATGAGTTTCATTAATTTATCATCAATTACTGCATTAGTTCTCCAGGAAAATATTGAATAATCCGAACTCCCCACGCTCAAAACTACCCCTTGGAAAAATTCCGAACCCTCAATGTACTTGTGTTCACCCCCTACCGCCGTAATTTCCGAAATTAACACGAAATATCCGAAGATCAAGTCATTCTTAATTAATGTGTTAATTCCCTAGAAAAAAATTGTATAATTTGGACTGTCCACCCCTTGAATAACCCCCCGAAAGAAATTCCACCCACCCCCGACTCTGCACACCCCAAAAATCAGCCTCCAACCGGAGCTATATTTTCCAGCCTCGTAATGGGTCGTCTAAGTGCGGGCCGCACAGTCCGCCCCAAAAACTAATGCAACTTCTGCTGGGCGTGCGTCTGCTAACTTCGGCCTCATTACACCGTTGAAAAGCTCATAGCCGGTTTATATAATGTAACTAACGATACTTTCCGGATTTGTCGTCCCGTTTTCATTACTCGCGATCGCAACGTAGATGTGGGAGCCATCAAGTGGTCTCTCCACTAACTACTCTTGGCGGGCAACCAATGAGATCACTGCATTCTCTTTGATCTCATTTGTGGAGCTCCATCATTGGTTCCCCCCGAGGGATCTCATTGGTTGCCCCCCAAGAGTAGTTCGTTTAGAGACCACTCGGTGGCTCCTACATCTACGTTACGATCGCGAATACCGAATGTAAATCATTTAGAGGTAGTGGAGGGGAAAGTTCTGTCGTGTATTGGGCTCGCTAAATAAGAAAACGCCACCTAGGATCTAAGGCGCACGGGCACTCACACACCCAAGACAACCAAATTTTGGATTTGTGTAGGCGCGTATATGAGCGCCTTAGAGCGACCATATTGACGAAAAACAGCGTCCTCAATGGTATTTAGCGAATGACGCTGAAGTTAGCAGCCGACTTGGCAGCGAAAGTTCAGGGCCGTAGCAAGGATCTGTGGGGCCCCATACCTTAATACAAAAACTGAAAATTGTTCCTATTTAAGTTTTAAATTCCGAAATGATCTGGAATAGCCTCCCCATTCTCCACAATATGATCAACCCCCTTTGTTCAGGCCAAGGGGGTGGTAGGGAGATGAAAATCTCAATTTTTGTCTTTTTTTTTGGGAAGAAAAAATTTTTGCACCATAAATAGCCAGAACCACCACCACATTGTTATGAAAAAAGTTTAAACGAAACACCCTCGACCCCCAGGAAAATCATCAAGTCTTTCAGATTTCTCCAAGGGGGTGCTAGGGGGTGGAGAAATGAAATCTTCGCGTTTTTCAGGNTTGCACCATAAATAGCCAGAACCACCACCACATTGTTATGAAAAAAGTTTAAACGAAACACCCTCGACCCCCAGGAAAATCATCAAGTCTTTCAGATTTCTCCAAGGGGGTGCTAGGGGGTGGAGAAATGAAATCTTCGCGTTTTTCAGGGGGAAAAAAATTCTCCGACTCATAATAAGGAAAACCACAAACAAATGTTAATGGAAAAATACTCAGTGCAACTCCCCCTACCCCCAGAAAAATCATCAAGTCTTTCAGAGTGGACCAAGAGGGTCCTAGGGGGTGAAAAAATGAAATTTTCGCGTTTTTCGGGGGAAAAAAAAATCTCCGACTAATAATACGCAAAACCACCAATAAATATTGATGAAAAAATACTCAGCGCAACTCCCTCAACCCTCAGAAAAATTATCAAGTCTCTCAGACTAGTTCAAGGGGGTGCTAGGGGGTGGAAAAATGAAATTTTCGCGTTTTCCAGGGGGAAAAAAAAATCTCCGAGTAATAATATGCAAAACCACCAACAAATGTTAATGAAAAAATACTCAGTGCAACTCCCCCTACCCCCAGATTCATTTTTCTACCCCCTAGCATC